ATGTCAACATATTCTGTTACACCAAATACACAAAATAATGATCTTTAAAAAAGCCTTTCGAATGATCGAAAATTGGCATCCCTAGTTGCAACAAAGCCCTTAGTAACCATTTCACCCAAAAATTTAAGGGACCAAAACAGACATCTGCTAAGCTTAAAGTCAAGGAGGAATTCTAAATATTAAATGCATAATATGCTTTGAAACAATGTGCACTGTGAAAAGTGCCATACAAACTAAATTAAACTGATTCATTTTTTTCCCCGTTGTTTTTACTTTGAGTTTAACAGCTACATTTTTTATTTTACTTTTTTCTTTTATCTTTTGCCAGGCTTTGCAAGGGTGATCAATGGCTTTGGAGGGCGTTTCTGTATTCTTTTACATTATGTGTGCTCAAGTTTAAGGTGGCAGCCCAAATCAGTAAATCTAATCATTATACACCTCAACGCTCTTATACTTTTTAAAAACATTTTATCACACTCAAATTACTTGAAATACGTTTGGAAATAAAATTAGGTATTATACATTAAAGCATTAGATATAAATATTGGTTGAGTCATATTTTATTTAAAAAAATAATAATTAAAAAAACCTTCATAGATAGACCATATTTAACGACTGTTGCTGCCCCAAACCAATACAATTTGGGCATCAGACAGGTTTAAGACTGTGAAAATTAACAAAACAATTTATAGCAAAAGAAAACCACCTGTTACATAAAGTAATAAATAAATATTACAAGACTGGAATGTCACCGGGGAACTCATTCCATATCAACTAAATAATCACTTCAAAAGGGTATTAGTTTGAAGGAAAACATAAACAATAATAATCATTTAACATATCACTTCAGTTCCCACTTATTCAGTTCATATCTTTCACACATCCACAAAATACAAGGAGAGAAATGTGTGCTGACACTGGTCACACTGAAGTGGATTTCCACACCAGCCAATTCGCTTGTCCACATTCACTCAAAATAAAATTAAATCTTAAAGATTCACAATACTTCTTACGGTTACCCATAACTCTCACTTTCTGCAAACCTCATCACAGGAAACTGCGTTAATTGGTGACATATCTCTCTCTTTCAGGTGCGATAGACCTCGCCTCCATATTCACTTTTCCATCATTAATTGACTCCCAATTCCTTTATTGGGAATCCCCATTAATTGACCACCTCAATTTTGAACAAACCTACTACAAACTGACAACAAACACCACAGGAGACAGGAAGTGACATAAAAGTCCAGGGCAAGGCACAAAGAGCATGAAACAAAAACAAGAAAGAGTTGATTTGTGAGGAGAGCAATCGCGTTTATTTTCTAAAACCAACCTCAAAATTACAAAACAAAACAAACAAAAAAACAGTATCTTTCAAAAAGGTCTCTTCAGTATAATGGATAAATAAAATAATTTTAAGTAAAATGAAAAAGCCAAAGCCTTCTTGCAGTGGATGTGCTGGTTTGGGATTCATTGCCGGCTGCAGCCATGTCCTCATCTCATATATAAAACACCTGTGATTCACAAATACTTTCTAAGTAACTCACATTCACATAAAGTAGCCTTCTTGAAAAGTTTGGGTGAGTAAGGGCAAAACGCACAAGATGCAGTACTTTCAGTGACCTGTAATAGGCAATATCACGTCTTTTGTAGCAGAATTAAACTGCTGCAGAAAAAGCTAGGTCCATGCAAAATGTAATGTGTAACTGCAACACTCATTTCAAATGTAGTGGAGTAAAGAGTACAGATACTCATTAAAAAATGTAGTGAAGCAGAGAGTAAAAGCTGCTAATATCTTTGATACTCAGTACAACTACAAAGTATCCAAAAAGATACTCAAGTACAGTAACTAATTACATTTATTCTAATACTTCACACTTCTGGTAAGCTTTAACTTTTCGGAAATTTATTTTTAGTAAAATCTCTGTGTTTATTGCAACTGTTTTCGGGTTTTTGGCCAGATTGACTCAGACACTGCTGGACACATTCGGTAGTCAAACAAACCTCTGGTGTTTATGTGTAATTAATTCTATGTTGAGTCAAATAAAATATTTATTTCTAAAGATATTTTAATGTCTATTTGATGCTTTTCTCATTGAACACAAATGAGACTTTAAATCCTCCTTTGAGCGTAAATTCTTAACTAAATTCGATGTGTAATTAATCAAATTAATTAGATTAACTGCCACATTTCTAATGGCGCTTTTCCACTGCATGGTACGGCACGGAACGTTTCACTTTTGGGTGCCGAGCTGAGTCGTACCATGCAGTGGAAAAGTGCCATAACACTATGCTAGCATAAATTAGCATGTTGCTAGCATGATTCTAACATATTTTAATACAATAATAGCATGAATTTGCATTTGTTGGTATGTTTTTAACATGTTGTTAACATGAATTATGTTCCTAACATGTTTTACTATGCTAACATACTGGTAAAAAATGTACAGTCTGAATGCACTGTAAGTTGCTTTGGATAGAAGTGTCTGCTAAATGCATAAATTATAAAAAAAATTATTATAAATTAACATGAATTACAATGTTGTTAACATGTTTTAACACTATGCTGAAATGATGTAAGGATATGTAACAGAACAGTGAGCGTGAAAAATAACATCAACAAGATATAGGTCATGTCTGTTGTTGATTATTCCAGTGGAAACAACGTTGTACATACCTATGTCTCTGGAAATTGAGTAATCACTGCCCTAATGTGCTATGAGCTATTAGACAAAATTGTCAAATACATCCATCTAGGGTATGTATATACAGTATATATATATACTGTATATGAAAGCCTGGGCAGACACAAAAACACTTCCTATGTTAATGCAAGCTTATTCTCATGATGTCACGTGTGTGGTGCTATAAGGAGCACAAGACGACGGAGAATTCCAAATAACAGTCCTTTAATAAATCCACAGAAGAAATACTGGAGAAACTTCAGGGAAAATGCAGCACAACCAACATCTAACATCAGAGAATAACCAGCAAAGGACTGAACAGAACAGGGAGAACTTATACAGAAACTAAATGAGGGAACTAATGAGATGATTAACGAATATAGGCGAACAGAATAAATGGTCCCACTTTATATTAAGTGGCCTTAACTACTATGTACTTACATCAAAAAATAAGTACAATGTACTTATTGTGTTCATATTGTATTGCAAAACACTTTTGCTGCTATTGAGGTGGGATACGGGTAAGGTTAGGGACAGGTTTGGTGGTATGGGTAAGTTTAAGGGAGGTTTAAGGTATAAAGGGATGGGTCAAAAGTGTAATTACAAATGTAATTACAGAAATTAATTACAGATGTATTTACATGCAGGTATTTTTAAAAATATAATTACAATGTAAAAACATGCATGTACACAGTAAATGCATTGTATTAAATTATTAATTTAAATGTAAGCACATAGTAGTTAAGGCCACCTAATATAAAGTGGGACCGAATAAACTAATCAAGGGTACATGGAAAACTAGGTCAAGAAATTACACCGTTTATTACACGTAATTACACAAGAAATTACACACAAATCACCGTTACACATGATGAACTGCCTTTAACTGAAAATTGAGTGTTTACTATTGTCATTTTGCATTATTGACACAATATTTTCCTAATTAATGTTGTACAGTTGCTTTGACACGATCTGTATTGTTAAAAGTGCTATAAAAATAAAGGTGACAGCTTGTGTGATATTGCCCATATATGTGTGTGTGTGTTAATGCTGTCAATCTAATTATTTAAAAATTGGACTTGTTAAAAGGTCCCTGAAATAATCAGGCCTTCACTTTAAGCTTTCACTTTAAGAGAGGAGTGATTTTTGCAAGAAAAAAAGCAGGAGAAATACCAAGCAAATGTCTAAAAGCTGGCAAAAGCTATGAAAAGAATACAAGATGCAATTTGCAAAAGTGAAATGCTTGCTTGTTGTCCACACTGGGAACTACCTACAGTAGCCAAAGCACAATAAACTAATTTAGCCTTTTCCAAGGCCCATATTTACAAAATATAGAATTCTGAGAATCCATACTCTAGTCTCATGAGACCAAGTCAATCATATTGGATCTAACAGCATCCATGGCGCTGCTAGGGGTCCTCCAGTGAGAGGACAATGAGAGGTGTCTTGTTTTCACAGTTCAGTGGCACAAGTTCTTTATAGGGATGTATGAGTGCTGAAGGTGTGAAGGAAGGTGTCATGAACTCACACACCAATGTGTGATGTAATGCAAACACATAAAACAGAAGATGCTACCCCTTTCTCATTCCCTGCATTGTTGTGCTTTTTTTTTTCAACATGACAATATACATTCTCTCATGGTTTAAAAAAAAAAAAAAAACTTTTGTGGACAAGTGTTTCACCCAATCATAACACTCTTGAGTACTTGTGGGGGATTTTGAGACAAGTTGAGCAACACTATTATACTATACTATACTATACTCCCTATTAAAGATCAGAACATTTAAGGAGGTCATCCTCCAAGTGACAAATTGTCATCAACTTGAACACTCAATGCCAAGAAGGGTCAGAGCAGTATACTTTAATAAGTCCTAGAATATTACACATTTGGTGAATTTTAACACAGCGTTTGTCAGAAGCAGCATTTACTGTAAATCGAGTCACTCTGCAAACAGCCAAGCTGCATGAATGTAAATGAACACAGTGCCGCTGTTTACTCTGACATATGCAGCACAAGAGACAATATACTTCTTTAATTATATTACAGCCATTGATTTGATAATATATCACTACTTAAGTTTTATTTTGATTAACTGTAAGATTAACCCCCTGCAGTTCCCTCAAGAGCCCTCAGAGGTTTGCAAACCCATTTGGGAAACCCTTGTTTAAAACATAAACAATACTATGTGAATGTGAAAACCCAAGGTAAAGAAACGTAACAAATCACAGAATGATCTCTAAAAATCAGCTGGTCATATTAAGGAAGAAAAATCCAGTAATTACTGATGAAACTATTATATCTATGTTATTGATTACCTGAATGGAGCAGTTAAGAGCATGTGAGAGTTTGTGTAACTCCTCCTCCACACGTTGGCAGATGGGGCAGTGATCGCCATGTAATGCAACACTATTCACCAGCAAAAAACTGTAAAAAAAAAACAAAACAAATAAATAAAATAGATAATACAGGGACCCAATTACCAATTTTTTCTTTAAATTTGTTTTTGAGCAAGTTTATAAATATTCACAAAACAATAACAAAGTATGGAAATGCATAGTTAACATTAAGAAATCATAGTGGGTATCATAGCATTAGCATGGCAGCCTTGCAGGATGGAATTGCGCATTAGAAAGAACAAAAAGACCTTGAGGTACGCTCAATTGAGGATGAACTTTCAGTTTTAGAAACACAAATACAAATACTTATAAGAAATTATCCTTTGAGACCCCTGGTTTTTGGACAGGGATGCAAACTTAATAACATTGAAGTCATTGTCTCCTCTAGAAACAATAAAATTAGATTAAACTTGAGAAAGTCAAGGATTATACAAATAGTGAGAAAGGATTTGAACAGCACCCCATGTAAGGCTTATTTGTAAAATGATAACATTCATACATTTAGTCATACATTTAGATACCAACATATTTATTCTAACTTTTTGCTTAACGTTCTGTTCCAGCTGAGTACAATGAGTTTCCCACAGACTTACACTCCTGAATGGAGCAGTGGCAGCACTATATATATAAATACATACATACCGGTTCATATTTACTACTCTGCTCTGCTTATAAGAAATTATCTTTCTTCGAAATTATCTGTGTAAAAACATCAGTGGATTTTCGCATTGGTCTGAATGAAAACAACAGATGGGCTGATTGAATATTCAAATTCACTCTCTGCTGGCAGGGGGCGCTTTTGGAGCGGCAGAAATATCGGTTTCCCCGGTAACGACTATAATCAAAGCAGCTGCACTCACAAACGCTACATTTTACATCTAAGATTACATCTAAGCTTTTCTGAAGCTTTTCCCCTCAAAGATACATTCATATGAAAACACCCACGAACACCCATGTTTTGATTTTGAAATATGCAGTGGCTGATGTTTATTCAACTAATAATTTTCTTGATTTTCTTGAGGAAAATCTGTTTGTGGTGGTCAGTTTTGATATTGTGGCGGGCCGCCACAAATGAATCAATGTATGGGAAACACTGAAAAAGACAAACCCTTCAGAAGTTATAAGCAAAAATAGCAAATAGAATCAGAGGGAAAATCATTTTGCTTCGAGAATCTAGATCTTATGGTTCAAAAGTTATTAGCATAAACATGAGTGCAATTTTGAACTGCTGGTGGTGCTAAAGAGTTTGAGTTAGATATTCCGAACTTGCTATGATTAATGGGATAGTTCACCCAAAAATGAAAATTCTGTCATCAACCCTTGTTCATATTTTTGTGACTCAGCCAGTGTTCGTGGGTCTGGTGGACCCGCTGCAGTTTTGGGTTTTTAATTCAACACAATCAAAAATTATATGTTAAATTACTCAACAGATGTTTACTTCATCCCAATTTCAAGCAATATAAACAGCATATATGGTAAAAATGTGCCCATTACCTTTGTTAGATCACATTTATGAATTAATAATAATAATAATAATGTTATATTTATATAGCGCCTTTCCAGAGCTCAAGGACATTTAACAAAGTTTTTAACGCGGCGCTTCAAACCAAAAAAACAAGCCCGAGGCGTTTTTTAAAGAATGACGCTTTTACGCCTCGCGTTTTGCGCGTCGGTGTGCACACTCACATTGGCGCCCTTTGTTTAGTCACGAGGCATTAAACGTCAGCGATAATCGCGCGCGATATTCGTCCCGGTGTGAACAAGCCTTGAGAGTGCCAAATTGAGTTCTCCTTTGCATAGAATGCAAAGATAGAATCGCACTTGAATGGTTTAAAATCACATAAAAATGGATATGTAATCATTGATTAATGGGAGACCAAAGCACATGTCTTGTCGAATCCACGGTCCTTGGAAATGTTGAACTGGTACTGGATACCCAACCCTAGCTTTATATTGGGGTTTTCTGAACTTTTAACTTTGTGTGTCACCAACTATGATAAAATCCTCATCGTGGGTGATTTTAATTTTCATGTTGATAAAGCTGATCGTAAAGCAGTGCAGTTTTTAGAGGTTATAAATTAATTTAATTTTACTCAAAAGTAAGTCAAGTGCATATGCTTGATGCTAACAGAACTTCAGAAAGTTGTTAACGAATGTAATTCTACTACTTCATCCATCAACCCTGTACCTAAAGCTTTTATTAAACAGGTTTTTGATGTGTCTCAGGTCATGTTTTATATATCATAAACACATCTTTGCAGACTGTTTACTTTCTTGGGGCCTCATTTATAAAACTTTCCGTAGATTTCATCCTAAAAGTGTACGTAAGCACAAAAGCATCTCCACCCCGTCTCCTCCCAGAAATCACATATGGAGCTTACAACGCCTAGTTTTACTATGCATAACCTCATCTGCATATCATTTCCATGCATATTCCCATCCACGTGACGCCATGTTTAACACCGTCAAAGGTACAACACATTAAGGGGATACGGACTATAAATGCCATTTGTTACATACACATTAATTTTTAATGCTAAATATCATCCAGTATCCTTGTTATGTTTCAAAATAAATATATCAAAATATCCATAAAAACTGTTTTAAATAGTTCTCAGATAAATATTTTAGAATTTTAGTTGATTTCATTCATTCATTTCCACTGGCCAAATGATACTTTGATTGTTTTAAACAATTCAAATTAAATTACATTTATGCAGTTTTGCTGATAAGGTGAACATCTTTTAGCTATTTTAAGTGGAAACAGATAGGCCTATATTTATTGCAATGTAAATACAATTGTCTGACTCGCGCCTCACTGACAACGTAAAAAAGTAGCCTATTTTAAAAAGGAAATGTGCAAATCTTACCGTTTTCTTGTATCTTTCAAATACAGTGGTATTTTTAATAATGTTGTGGAGATGCCTTCACACGACATCAACATGAGATCAGCAGTTTAATTTAAAGATGAATTATTATGCACATAGACTTACCCTCGCTGTCATTAAAACATAGCATACCACAGGAAAAGTGATCAAGCGCATTCTCTACAAAGAGGCTATATGTCTAAATTAATATAATTTTGTTTTAACTTCTGCATAGTAGAGTTATGTAATTTCAGTGCTCATCTCCACTAATGAGAGTGGAATATTTAATATAAATGTGTATATCGACATGAAAACTGTCACGGTGCACACACACGAGAAACACGGGAACGAAGGAGCAAGGAGACACGGAGTAAAGTATCTCAAAAGGGTTTATTAAACAAAGGCTGGGGATCACAGGACTCGACACATCAGGATGACAGAACAACGTTTAATCACTGACAAAGGACAAGAACCAGAACACACTTTAAATACAGAGGAACTGATGAGGAGAAGACAAGGAAAACCACTCTGGAGACCACTAGGAGTAGGGTTACCAGACGGGAGGCCTCCAGAGGCCATGGTGGATCTGTCAGCTCTGGGTGCCAAGGCGGAAGAGGGACCACAGGAGGACATGGCGGAGTAGGGAACACAGGAGGCCATGGTGGTGCAGGCAATTCAGGAGGTCATGGTGGAGCAGCCTCCGAGGCCGCGGCTTTAGCCCCCGCCTCGGCCTCTACGGCTGGAGCCCTACTACCCCCCCCCCCAAAATACATGGGGACGTTTTACAGGTTCCGAGGCCTTCTGTGGGCCAGGACCAGGGACTGGAGCCCTGCCTGGGTGGAACCGGGGATCGGGAGCCTTTCCTGGACTGAACCGGGGGATCGGGAGCCCTTCCTGGGCTCGACTGGGGATCAGGAGCCCTTCCTGGGCTCGACTGGGGATCGGTAGCCCTTCCTGGGCTCGACGGGGGATCGGGAGCCCTTCCTGGGCTCGACGGGGGATCGGGAGCCCTTCTTGGGCTCGACTGGGGATCGGGAGCCCTTCCTGGGCTCAACTGGGGATCGGGAGCCCTTCCTGGGCTGAACTGGAGATCGGGAGCCCTTCCTGGGCTGAACTCGGGAACAGGACTGACATTGGAATGAACTCTGGGGCCACAGCCGACACCCATCTCCTCACCCCTAGTCTCCTCTTCTGGATCGGGGGGAAAATGCATGGTAGGCAAACCGGAGTGTTGAAGTCTGATGGGCTTGCCACATTAATGTCCGGTGGGCTTTCCGTCACGCTTCACAGAAGCGCGGTCTTCGTACCGCAGAGACAAACAGGAGAAAAAGGAAAACCAAAAGACTGTTCAAAAAAACGAAAACAAAACACGGAAGAAGGAGCGCTGCTTACTGTCTTTGGTCAGTCGTTCTGTCACGGTGCACACACACGAGGAACATGGGAACGAAGGAGCGAGGAGACAGAGTAAAGTAACTCAAAAGGGTTTATTAAACAAAGGCCGGGGATCACAGGACTCGACACATCAGGATGACAGAATGACGTTTAACGACTGACAAAGGTCAAGAACCAGAACACACTTTAAATTCACAGGAACTGATGAGGAGAAGACAAGGGACACCTGGAACTAATAAGACAGTCAACATAGGAAACACCTGGGAACAATGAATTCAAAACACGAGACAGAGAAACTGGAAGACGGAGCACATAGGGAGCAAAGACACACACAAAACCTGGCCCAGAGCCTGACAAAAACAGAGTTTAAAATTATTTTTTAGTTCATTACTTTTCTCTCTCCAGGAAAAACTGTCAGTACGCATGGGTCAGAGTATGCGTGCAGGTGCGCAAATTTTCCCATTAAGTTTGTTTTTATAAATCCCACCTTTTGCGTAGGAAGTGGCGTATGCCTCTTTCAGGGCAGGTTTTATGCATACGCAACGGTTATAAATGAGGCCCCTGATGTTTTTAAAACTGCTGTGGTGAGACCTATATTGAAGAAGCCTAATTTGGACAGTAATGTTCTGGCTAATTATAGACCGATATCTAATCTCCCATTTATTAGTAAAGTACTTGAAAAGGTGGCTGCAACACTAATAAAATCTTTTCTTGAAGAAAATCTAATTATGGAAGAGTTTCAGTCTGGCTATAGAAAGTACCACAGTAC